TCCATATGTAAATTTCCAGGGGCGGGAAGATGGCGTTACAGGTAACTTTCTAGGGGCGGGGGAGATAGGGGCTTCCTGCTTCCAGTTGAGGCTTTCCTGGCTACAGTGTCCTATCTGGGCCAAAACCCTTTCAAGGTATATATATATTTTCTAAATATAAACCAGACTTAATAAAAAGACCCATTTTACAGAATTTTGTATCACAGTTCACTATGGGACATTTAACATTATTTTTCCTAGTGCTGTTGTCTAAAGAGTCAAATAGGTCAAACAAGGAACATTAGTAAATTTAGAAAATAAATTCAAATGCAAGATATATAAAATAGGAATAAAATGTTCTGTTAAAATAACATCATAATCTTTCCATGTTCTCAACTCCAATTTATAAGGAAGGCATAAGCAATTGACAATGACAAGGATAATGATTTTTGACAACCCAAGTGAATTATAAACCAGAATTTATGAAACAAAAGCAAATTCTTACCTTCCTCCAATTATCTCATTGGGGCCTCCAAATGATATAGGGATATGACACAGGACCTTAGAATACTCCAAATAATATAAGGGAAATATAACTCCCAACTCGATAAATGGCTGATGTGCCAAATTCGTGTTCTTTAAAATCAAAGAATGAATTCTAGGAACAACAGAAGTTAACAGTAGGAAGTATTTATTGAGAGAAAGATAGATTTGCCTAAGATACAGAAGAGAGACCTGAGTAAGTGGTCCTGGGGACCCCTCTTCTCAAGGGACTTTTGCAGAGCAAAGTCATGAGGTAAGGTGGAACAAAACTAAAATCAACTAATAAGATTACAAATATAGTCTCTTAATTAACATTGATCCAATGGGAAATAACAGAGTGAGTATGAGGTGGGACAAAACCATGGTTGTCAACCAATAAGATTACCAGTGCAAACACCTAAGTAATAGGGATTAAATGGGGATCAAATGGGGAAGCAAGTCACACAGCAAGTGTACGCAAATAAATAAGGATGTCTCCAGGAAGGAAGAGATCAGGAAAGTTTGGTGCCCCACCCAAGGTGAGTGATGCCTGTTTAGAGAACCAATCACTGCTGCTTTCCCTAGGGGAAGTACGTGGGGGTAGTCATTTCCCTAGCCTGAGGCCTGACCGTAAAGGAATGCACCTCCAGCTGCAGTTGTCTTCTGCACTGATCTCTCAAGGGCCCAGCCTTGCCTGCCTGCCTGCCTGACTGCCTACAATATTTCTATCTGATTTAGCTGTCTAAAACACAGCTGCCAAGGAGAATTAGACCATCTCTGGAAGGACAGATGATTCATGAATAGGATGGTGTTTCTTGGTTAGAAAAAAAGTAGCATCTCAAGAAAATCTCACTTAAAATATTTTACTCTGAAAGTTCTGCAATTTCATCACAGAGGAAATCTGCTTTGGTTCTATAAATTTGAAAATTATAAAGTAACTCAATTAATTAGTAGTTGCCTCTCTGGAGCCTTCAAAGTTTGCATCAGGGTTGAAAAGCAGAAATTAATTTTCCCCTTCAGTAAATGTTCAAACCTTGGACAACTGGGTCTTGATGTATATCATATTTATTAAGTAAGTAACTTATGAAAAGTGATTGTATTGTTTTCTGGGAGGTGGAAGTAGGGATTGAACTGAGCTACATTCTCATACCTTTTTTTTTTAATTTTTAATTTTGAGACAGGGTCTTTTTTAAGTCACTAAATTGCCCAGGCTGAAATTGAACTTCTGGTCTTCCTGCCTCAGTCTCCCAGAATGCTGGGATTATACATGTGATCCACCATATCTGATTTAAATCTTAATTTTTTTTGTCTTTTTCCTTTTTATTGGTACTGGGGATCGAACTCATGCTTGCAAGGCAGGCGTTTATGCCGCTGAGCTACCTCCAGCCCCTAAACCTTAATTTTTATATGAGTCATCATCTAACAAACAAATGCAAAAGAGTAGGATATTTTTTTTAAAAAATTAAGTGTTTACACCCAAGAACCTCTTGTGCTCATAGGGACGGACTTTGGAAGAGGACCACACCATGGGAGTGCTGTAGCTGACTTGTTAGCAGGTGGGTGGGGCTTTGGCAGGTAGGTCACAGGGGCATGACCTGAAAAGGTATATATCTTCTTCCTCCCAGGCTGCTCCCGTGGCTCTCTCCACCATGATGTGAGCAGCTTTCTTCCATCCAGCCATTCTGCCATGCTGTTTCCATGTTTAAGCCTGCTGGCTATGGACTGAAACTACTGAACTGTGAGCCAAACTAAACCTCTCCTCTCCTCCTTTACATTGTAGGTGTCAGGTATTTTGTTCCAGTGACCAGGAAAGTGACTAAGACACTAATTATCAGGTTCGGAAATTTTTTTTTCTCTGTTGAAAAGCAGTAATCTTTATTTAAGTTTGGGATAGAATGCTAGGAAGCAATGTTAAAATAGTAGCACATTAAGCATGAAGCCCTTGATTTGATCTCCAAGCATAGTGCAGCAAAACTAAACAACTCACAGATGATTATATTCACCATTTTAAAAGGCCATATCTTTTATGTGGATATTTGAATGAGAAAACATGTGTATGTTAGTGTCCTGGTGACTCAGTAATTGAGCCACAGTACCAGCTTGCAAGGTGATCCAGATGGTCATGGACTTCTGGGACTCATGGAACCAATAAGGGCATCTTGGGAGTGAGGGCTGGGTCATAAATGGTATCATGGCTTCTGCCTTCTTCTCTCTCATATGTTTGCTCTGGAGGAAGCCAGCTGACACATTATGGTGATACATACACATCCCTACAGAGAGGGTCCATAATGACATCCCTGGTACCAAGCCTCCTAAAAGTGGGTCTTCCAGGTCTTGTCCGGCCTGTAGACAACTGTTGGCATGGTGAAATACCTTGACTGCAAGCATAGGAGACTCTGAGGTAAATTATCACTAGATTCCTGACCTGTTCCTGTTGAGTTTGGTAAATCACTAAATTTGAAATAATTTGTTACTAAAGCAATAGATTTCAATGTCTTTCTTGCCTCTCCTAGAAATACTAATGCCAAAATAAACCAGTGATGCCTATTTTAAGCCACTGACAAAGTCGATAGGCTCTGCTGTAAGTGTTTGAAACAATTCAAAGAATTTGTCAGTAAGTCTGTCTCAAAGAAGACTCACAAGAGCTTGATGACTGGGAGCCTTTCAGAAATGCAGAATATCAAATTCCACCTTAGACCTGCTGAACTAGATCCTGCATTTTGATGAGATTCCTCCATGCCATGTCAGTACATTAACATTTGAGAAAAAGCCCTGAACTACTTGGCTCAATATATCAATAGCAAAAACAGTTGGGAAACTCATTCGTCAGAAATTCTGAGTTAATCTTTTTGGGATGAGGTGGAGGTGGTACAGACCTGGCCAGGGGGTTCCTTCAAAATGGTCTGTTGTGCCCCCTGAAGGAGCACTGAGTCCTTGTCCTAATAGACTTGGGTTTGACCTGCTCACCTGCTGGCTCTCTCTCTCTCTGGGTCAATTCTGAAGGAAGCTCATCTCAAAATCCATGCCTAGGGAAACCTGCATGCAAGTCGCCCTATAATAGGAACTGTGGCTGACATCCCACCCCTTCAAGCCAGAAGCTATATCTTAGGATTGACCCAAATTGCCCCCTGCAGAAACTGTGAGACGGTGGTCAACCAGACTAAAGCTTGGCCAAGACAGCTGGTCTAGGCACATTTTCGGCTGAGGGCCCTGCACCTTTTATTATATAATCCTGGAGCTTAATGTCAGTACCTCAAGACAGGGCTTAGGATGCAATCTCCCTGCTTCTTCCTAGTCTGGATGTACTGAACACCATCAACACCCCGAAAGCCCCTCAAGTTGGTGTGACAGAACCCAGCCCGTTAGGCCTCTGACCTTGCACTTGGGTAACTGGCCTAATGGACCCCAAGGTTTTCTTCTCAGAAGCGAATAGTCTTCTCGGACTCGGTTCATTCCAAGAAAAGTATTTATGCCTTACCACCCTAAAGGTCAGTGTGGAATCCCGGTGTGAAGGACCCAGCAGGTGCCTGCAATCTGAGTCTTCAGATTGTCAAATTGGGACCAAACAGCTTTGCGCTTTGTCTTGCTCCAAAGGCAAAGCTGAGATAGCTAGTTTCTCAGGTGCTTCTGGAGACCATGTTTTTAATGTTGACCAGACATTTCCAAATAGGATGTTTAGCCTGACAGGCCTTCACAGCTGTGGGCCCCGCCTTCCCTTGAATTTGGGCAGGTGGGGAAAGGGTGAGACTGTCTCCCTGCTGCGCTAGCCCTGTGGCTCTCAATAAATATTTTTTGATTAACTAAGTCTTCAAAATCCAGTAACCCCTGATTACTCACTCATTCAATTCCTGAGCAGCCTGCAGTGGAAAGGGTGGAGGTGGTTTTCTCAAAGAATTTTTAAACAAAGGGACAAATTTGTTTTGAAAGATAACGATAAAGCCTGTGCCATGTCCGGATTTTGGCCTCTGTGCCTCGGCTGGGGGGCGGTTGGGGGGATGTGCTCCCTGCCCTTGACTCTCCTTTGTAATTTCTCTTTTGCCTGCCTGCGCGTGCACGTCCCTCAGGCGGAGCGCGCGCCGCGGCTGCGCCCTTCCGCGCCGGGCTCCGGGTGGCTGCGGCCTCAGCCGGGAGGAACCCTCCTCGCCCCGCAGCGCCCCGCGCGCCCCGCTCAGCCCGCGCCCCGGCCGGCCTGCCCTCCCGCTCTCCCGCCCGCGCAGGTTTCGGCTCCCGCGGCGCAGGAAGCCCCTCCGGCCCCGACAGCCGCGGGCGGGCGGGGGCGGGCGCGGATGCGGGCCGCGGGCCGGGCTCCCTCGGTCTCCGCGGCGCTCCGGGGGCCCCGGGCGAGCCTCGGGCAGCCCAGCGCGGCGGTTCCGGGCGGGCTCCCGCGCGCCAGCGGCGAGGCGTGGCCAGGTGGAGGCGGCGCTTCGGGGGGCGTGGGGCTCGGGCCGGCGGCCGGCGGCGAGGACGCCGGACAATGAGGCGGGCGGCTGGAGGCTGCGGCCGCTGCTAGGCGGGCGCGTCCGCGGGCCGCGGGGTGGCTCCACCTGCGAGCGGAGGGCGCGGTGCCAGGCCCGGGCGCTCCAGCGCTGTGAGGCCCGCGCCGCCCGCGCGCGCGGAGGGCTGCGTTCCGAGCGGCCGCGATGGCCAGCGCCAGGAGCATCGAGCTGGAGCACTTCGAGGAGCGGGACAAAAGGCCGCGGCCGGGGTCGCGGAGGGGGGCGCCCAGCTCCTCCGGGGGCAGCAGCGGCTCGGGCCCCAAGGGCAACGGGCTCATCCCCAGCCCGGCGCACAGCGCCCACTGCAGTTTCTACCGCACGCGGACCCTGCAGGCCCTGAGCTCAGAGAAGAAGGCCAAGAAGGCGCGCTTCTACCGCAATGGGGACCGCTACTTCAAAGGCCTGGTCTTTGCCATCTCCAGCGACCGCTTCCGGTCCTTCGATGCGCTCCTCATGGAGCTCACGCGCTCGCTGTCGGACAACGTGAACCTGCCCCAGGGCGTCCGCACCATCTACACCATCGACGGCAGCCGGAAGGTCACCAGCCTGGATGAGCTGCTGGAAGGTAGGCGGGGCGGCCCGCGCGGCAGGTGCAGTGGCCGCGGCCGGCGCGCTCCCTGCTGCCCAGCGCACGCGTGGGGAGCCCGCCGGGGGCTTGCGGGGCGCTGCGGGGACTGCGCGCTTCCCCGGAGTGGGATGGGTGTGGAGGGTCACCGGCCCACACATTCTCTTTCCTTCCCAAGATACTCTTAAAAGAAGAGGGGAAAGTCCCATGGTCAGAGGCAAATTTAGGCATTTGTGAAACCTTAAGAGTGGCTAATTTATTTTTGCTGACAGGCAAATTGTTGGTAAGGAGCTAGGGGATCCCCTGGTTAACGAGGTCCCCTGCACAGGCTCCTGTTGGCTCCAGTGCTGGGCACCTTGTGGTACCTGCGTTGCTCAGAAGTTGAGGCTCCGCCACGCTCTGGTTGGCTTTCCTGGTTTGGCCTGCGGCGGAAGTCACTTGAGGTCAAGAACAAGGATCCTAGAAAGCGGGTTTCAACCTTGGTTTCCTCTTGAATATCGCTTTCAAAAAAGGGGATTCCCTGGCCTCCCACTCTTAAACACTACATCGAGACTTGGCTTGGGGGGGGTGACTTGGGCATCTGAAATTTTTGAAAACTCTCCAAGTGATTTCAATGAGTAGCCAAGATTGCGAACCACTGTGCCGAAGGAATTTCCACGTTTTCTCTTTTGGAAATGAGGAGAATCAGGGTCAGTAACTCCAGCCTCCTGTGAGGGCGGAGCCTTAGAATGATAGAAGCTATCGGAGTCGGCAGTTGCGGCTTGTTAAAATATAGTAATCAGCACCACAGCTGTGCATCACTTCAGTGGCCTACTTGGTTGTATGTTGGGTCATTCTTGAATTCTTGCAACATTTACTCTTTTTTCCTTTCAGGGAGGAAAATGATTAGTAGTTAAGAACCTGTTTCCAGTTTACAAAAATGTCCCGAAGGATCAGGCGGAACCCCAGTATGTGCTGACTGCATATTTACAAGTAGTTAGCGCTCGCGTATTTCTCAATCCCGATGTTACATTTTTGTAGTCTTAGCAATATTGGCTTGGAGAGGAAGAGACTTAAAATTGAGCAGGCATTTTTCTTACGTGATTTCAGCATGCTCTTGTGTTCTGATCTATGTCCATTTACAGATGAGGAGACCTAATGTGTGTTGTTGTACAGCGCCTGTATCATATGCTCTTTCATTTAGGGTTGCCCTCTGATACAGGAAGGTGATAAAATGACGAGGTGAGTCGTAGCTGTAGCTCAGTGGCAGAAGCGCCTGCTTAGCAGGTGCAAGGTCCTGAGTTCAACTTTCGATGCCAAACAAACAAGAAAATAGAATTCTGAAAGTGATTGAGCGCTCTCTTGAGTTCCCGCTATCAAAAAGTTTGCTCTGGCCCGATGACAACTCAGCTAAAATTGTTCCTTCTGTGTGTGTGTGTGTGTGTGTGTGTGTGTGTGTGTGTGTGTATGCACGTGCGCGCCTTCATACATGTTGCTGGCAATGTGTTTGGGTTTTAAGGGTTTCGGAAGGAGTTAAATTAGCTAAAGGAGTGTAAGTGGAGTGGGGGTAGAAAGGCCCCAGGGCTTTGCTTAATCATATTATACTGTGTACATAAAAGTGATGTTTGATGCTTCCAAACTGAGTAACCAGTTTTCTGACTCCAGGCCAGAGCAGTGGACTTTGTGGAAGGATCCAGGAAATACCTGCATTACTGTACTTACCCACTTTCACAGGCCCTTCTGAGACTACCTGGTGGGTCTTTGGAGGGTCAACGATTTTAATAGCCTTGTTCAAAGTAAGTGTATTTGCTACATGAAGTTAGGGTGCTTGAGAGATAAAGATCATTGTGGGAGGGACAACTAAGGTGACTATCATGTGTATTAAGCTACATATGACATGTAAGTCTGTCATTACTCAGGGAATGCATGGCCATGTGGGTCTAATTTTTTGTGGGGTGGTGGTGAAACAGGGTCTTGCTATGTAGCGCAGACTGGCCTCAAACTCATAGGGGCTAATCCCACCTCATCCTCTCTAGAGCTGGGATTATAAGTGTGTGCCACCATGCCTTGCTTGGATTTTATTATTAAGCTATAGTTTCAACTACAAATTGATGTTTGAAAGATTTCCTTCACCGCATTCATACACTATGTGTAGAGTCCAAGTTACACCACATCATGATTAGAAATGACAATTATAGCAGATATTTGCACAACAAATGTTTCTATGGTGTTGACCATTTGATTCAAGCAGTTTTAACATAATGAAATTACTACAAAAGAAAAAACTTTGGGCAGTTCTTTTTCTTCTGTCATGATAGAATTCTCTGACAATGGATCTTTGTCTAATTCTTGAACTTTGCAAAATGGGTTGAATATCTTACAGCCATGCATTTTTCCAGAAAAAACTATCAATGCTTAATACCAATCATTCTCGATGCAAAGTTTTAATTTTTAGCTAAAATTGTGTTCAGATGTTCAGATTTATCATGTAGAAAAGCTGGCAACCAGAAGTTACTCACATCAATTAAAATAGGTCAAATTTGATTGCTTTATTTCATTTTAATTATTTTTTCTCTTTAGTTGCTTTTAATGAAGACCCTCCTGGTATCTTATATCACTACATTCAGACCTCCTGTCTTCTGCCTCTTACGTTAGGAGATACCGTTTTTCCTAAATGTTCTCAGCTAGAAATAGAAAGCAATGACCCAAGACAGGAGTCTCCAAGCACTCATTCAGAGTCACAGTCCCATTGAATTTGGGTGACAAAAGAAATTTGCATGGCCCAGATTTTCGTCTGCTACCCTTGACCTTGAGAATCTCTGGAGACCAGAAACTGTTTAAGTGTCAGCCAACACTAGCTCTGCTAGCACTGCACTAAACCAACAGGCCCCTTCAGGGTATTGATTTACCCACCTTGCTGGATTAATTTCCTTGAATTGATGCCCTGTGTTCTGGTAATCCTATTTGTTCTTTATGACTGGATGGGGACCTCTTCTTGTCCTAAGAGGGTTGTGATTTTCAGCAGTCAGTATTGGGAAGAGCAGGTTGAACTCTCTGGCATCATGGGTTTGCCAGGTTTGGAATATCTCTAGCCAGCTGGGGATGTTCTAAGGATGCATTCTTAGGCTCCTTTGTGCAGGGTTGTGTCCAAACACTTTGACTTGGTTGTATTCCATGAGTCTTTCCTGCTGAGCATTTTGGCTGTCCATAAAATTATGGTGTCCTGAAGATATCGAATAACCAATGGTAGTAGAAATAATGTCTGACCAAATCAGGATTGCTGGGTGCTAAAGACTGAAGGTTTCAGAAAAAAAGTGCGTGGTCCCTGGCCTCCATGTGCCTTTCTACAGAATGGGAGGTTGGCAGATTCTGTCTGTGGCATCCTTTCTGTTCTAATCCTGTGCACCCTTCCCTTACCCAAGTGGTTAATTACAGAGTGTGAGGAGCTGGGCTTCCTTTCTCTGGGCAGAACCTGACTTCTGGGACACAAGCAAGGCTTCAGCTGTCCCAAATTGAACAGGTAGTGGGGCAGGGGGTTCTGATGAAGTGTTTTCCAAGAGCCAAGGGTCTGCCTCTCTCATTCCAAAGTACAGTGTTATTTCTGTCCTTTGCTCAGTAAGCTGTATTTGTGGCATGTGAGATAATTTCAGTGATTTTGATAGGCGATACTTTGATTTCTTCACTAACTTGAACTTTTAAGAAAGGTCAGATTTGAAAGAAATCAAGCACCACCCAAGGTGCTCCCATCAAATCTCATTGACTTGCACATGTTTAGTTAGGTCAACCTCTTTGAAGTTGTTCAACCAAACTGAGAAAGGTTTTTGTTTTGTTTTGTTTTTAACTGGGGATCAAACTCATGACCTTGTGCTTGCCAGGCAAGCCCTGTGCCCCAGAGCTGTATTCCTGGCCCAGAGGGAGTTTTGAAATAAAAATGAACCCCCATCAAAACTAGATCATAGCTGGTTATTCCCTTTGGTAGTTTAACTGTTTTGTTAACTCCAGTACCAACTGACTGGGTTGTCATAGTTCTAGGTGGGGCTGAAGGGATTTACTGAAAACAGAAGACCCACCCCGGGTGTGAGTGACAGCAGCCAATAGGCTTGCAGCCTGAATAGGATAAAAAGGGAGAGAAGGACATGTCATTTGGTTTCTTCAGAGGAGCTCCTGTCTGGCTTGGAATGTCTTTCTTCCAGTGAAGAGTCCTCAGCCTCCCAGCTCACTCTTCAGCTTTCTAATGGAGACCTTCAGCTTCCAGTTGGACTCTGTAGTGAGCTCCGGGTCTGCCCCTTTAACTGGATCATTGGGATTTGCATTCCTCCACACCTGATTCTGACCTGTTACTCTAGTGAGCCCTGTCTAATACACCTCCCTCAAAAGTAGATTCTTAAAAAAAAAGAAACTGAGCTTTTGGAACTTGTTATGGAGAAGAAATTTAAACCCCATGAGATATTTCCATATAAATACAATATCTTATATATGGCAATTTAACATGAAAACATTCTATAAGGTCTTATTTACGTGCTGGACTACTACAGTCTTCAAAGCCATTTCAAATATCACATCTCTACATAGTTTTTCCAAGAGGTTTCTAGGCAGTTAGCCTCAAACAGTTGTTAGCAGAGGGCAGACTGTGCAAGGTGTCATTCTACGTTTGGTGACAGTCTCTTCCCTCATTGGGCCCAGATGCCGGGGGGCATGGAAAGAGAGAACATACACAAGATTGTTTTAGTGAAAGTGCTGTAAACAGGGTGTAAATCAGATGGGGCCAGAGTGCCCAATTGGCTGTGGTGATAGAAGACTTCTCAGAGGAATGGATGTTGTACCCAAAGCCTGAGATCTAATTTATAATCTTTCTCCTGCTTACAGCATCTTTATTTCTATACAACTTTTGCAGCCCGGTTGATGGTATTTTAGATCTAGATGAACTGTACTGAGCTGAGAGCAATCTAAAGGCAAGGATCTTAGACACACAGTAAATCCATTGATTTTGACTCAAAATGTTTGTATCCTTACATCTGATT